CTGCCCCTCCAGTCCTTGGCTGGGCGGTTTCCCCACCCAAGGCTGTCCCAGGGTCAGGTTTAAAAGAAAACAAGACATGCTAAATATCACATGTGTTCTGCAGCTCCTTGGGGAGCTTCACCTCTTCCGTCTCTCAAAGCCAAACCCACCCGGGATACGGTTGCTCACCCCAGAGCATTTGGGTTTCTGTTAAAGCCATCTCTGCCAGCAAGAACAAGGTAGAAAGCCCACCCCACCTGCCCTGCCCACCCTGCCTGTCATGGCACAGGGAGGTTGCAGGATTCCCAGGCTCCCTGTAGCCTCCCATGGGGCATTTATACGGATCCTTGAGCTGGGCAAATTTGCCAATGTCCGTATGGAATTGAAATAATTAATCACTTCTTGGTAGAGGGGAAAATAGGGAAGAAATATATATCCATGAGCCATTTCCACCACTGATAGATCAGAAAGCGGATTTTGGAAGGTCGACACAGCCCCGATTAGCCCTTACTCACTCCTGTCAACACGAGAAAATCCTGCTCTCACCTGGGAGGAGAATCCAGGTCCAGACCAAGAGCCTTTCCCCCATCCTGCTCACCGGCTGGCTGCAGGCTCAGCCCTCACTCTCCAGAGCTACGTGCCCAGGCAGTGGCCACGCCGGGTGTCAAAGGAACCCTTCACTGTCGTGGCGCTTCTCCTTGGCTTCCTGCCCCACCTGCCCCCGCCTCCCCAGCTCAGGGCAGCCTGTATGGTGGCTCCTCTGGGCCACAGAGACTTGCAGCAACCACTTCTTTCCAAACTCGCTCAGCTCATGTCGTAGCTTTGCGCTTGCCAGCAGGTTCGGCAGCCAGGGAGCCAAGAAGGGGAATGGAAGCAGGGAGATGGCTTAGGCAAAGACTTTGAGAGGCTAAACTCAGCCTTCACTTTCTGTTTAAGAGTTTCAGCACTGATGGGAAGTTAAGTTCTGCTTTTCAGAGGGGAAACCCCAATACTGAAGAAGAGAAATACCCTGAGGATGGCCAAACAGCAGGGTCAGTGGCCTGTGTTAAGCTCCTGCTGGTACCTGTGTGCTGGGCTGCTCTGAGCTGCATGCCTGAGGAGAGCAGCTGGAGGAGCTGGGGTTTATTTTTCATCTGCCCTGGAGCCCGAGCCCTGCTGTGATTGTGATCTCAGAGACTGGGGTGGGAAAGCCGTTCCCTGGCAAGGTGTCACGCACTGGCTCTCCCTGTGATGGTGTGCTGCTGTTGCTAATGTGCAGCAGTGCTGAGCTGTGGGATACAGCAGAGGATCGAGTTATTTGAAACACAAACAAGAACATATCAACCCCCCTGGGAACTTGCCAGGCAGGAGGGGCAGGCACCAAGTCACCCTGTGAGAGTTTTTGCATGCACACTAGCAAGGTGTGGAAGATGCATCCCCGACACTGCCAAGCAAAGCTCAGTGAGCCCTGCCCACCCTTCCCTTGGGGAGGGAGGAGGATTGGGGCAAGTGTCTCAGAGGTGGATGCTCTGGCCAGAACATGCAAAGGAAAGATACCTACAAAGGCATTTTCTGGCTGAGGATTTTGACAGCAGCTCGATTACCCCAAGGTAGACAAACAAACTTCTTCAAAGAGATATTTTGACAGAGAGGCTGGGGGAATTTTCCAAGCCACATCTGTGCTATTGCTATCAGACGAGAGGTTTCGTTTCCACTTCCTCTTCTCTGTTTCAGGTTTGGTTTCTGGAAAGGATGAGCAGCTACCCAGCCTGGGACCCCTGGCACAGACCAGGGCCAGTTTCTCCCCATTACCGCAGGACCGTGAGCAGAAAGCTCATGGCTCCATTGCAATGGCTGGAGGCAGGGCTCCTTCCTGCCCCCGACACACTGCAGGGATTTACAGCCACCCAGCAGTGATGCTGAAACTCCCACGTAGGATTTTTACTCTGATATTTCTCCTTTCAGCTGTTGGGTAAAGTGAGGATGCTGGCAGGGGAGTGTCAGTGGGGGTTTTGCTCTGGCTCAGCGCCTCAGCCCTGAAACACCTCAGCAGCCTGTGAATGTGCTGCTGGAGGGGAAGAGCAAAATGGGAGTGGGCAGGAGCAAGGAGACCCAGAGCGCTGACATGAGAGGTTCTGTCACACAAGGGTCTGTGATATTTATCCTAATTAAAGCAAGTGTCAGGTTGAAAATGATGAAACCGGAAAGGGAGTGGAGCAATTCAGACAGAAACCAATGCATGAACCAAGGCAGAAACCAGCGTGGTGTGGAGCCACGCTGCCCGGTGCCCTGCAGACAGGGAGGGAGCCCTGGGCAGAACCTCCCCACCCAGATACCCTTCAGCTGGGGCATAGCTGTGGGTGCTGGGGTGCTGCAAACACCCCAAGGGAATGAATAAATGCAGCCACCTGCAGAGGAGGCTGCTGAGGAAGGCACTGGGCTCTGCACCAGCATCTCTGTGGGGTGACTGTGGTGGGGTGAGAGGGCCCTGATGGGGAGACCTGGTTCCTACCTTTTCTGTGAGACCCTCTTTCTTTCCACAGCAAGTGGCTTGGAAAACACAAGGCAAGGCTTCTGTAAGAAACGAAGCACTGCTGAAGAAACACTTCTCAGGAATCCCAGTGATGCATCCCGACAGGAACAAATCAGGTCGTCTTTTCGTCTCAGCCACACTCGGGGCTGAGCAAATGCGGCCGTGCGGTTCAGTAGCCGTGCCAGAGAGCAAAGTGGCCCCAGCCCAGCAACGCAGTCATTGGCCACAGGAACATGGCAGCAGGGGATGAGCTGACCCCTGACTCCCAGCCCCTGCCCAGCAGCTATGGGACATGGAGCAATAACCAAGATAAGTCCAGATAATTCCCTGATCTCCTGACTTAGAAAGCGAGAAAAAGAGAGAAATCCTTGCAGACTTTGTGGTGGTGAAGGGTTTACTCTGGACTGTGCCTTAGGCTGGACTCCTCAGCCAGCAAGGTCTAAACCAGGGGTCAGTTATTGCGGTGAAATTAAGAAAGCAAAATTCATCAGATTCAGAGGATGAAATTTGGACCCCTTCCCAGTTCACAGGGAATTAGAGTGATCAGACACAAAAGCATTGTACAGGCAGTCCAAGGAGATACTACAGTGGGTTTGGTGGTGTTGGTCAGCTGAGAGTGAGCAGGAGCAGCAAGGAGTACAGTAAAGTTGGAAATCTGGAGCTAGATTTAAATCTCTCACTGTTATAGCTGCAATTCTCAATGTAAATAGACAAGTAATTAAGCTATCAGAGATACAGTCTACCAGCAAATGCCCAAACAATTGAGCTAAATTGCAGGTCCATTTGAAATCACTCCTGCCATTTGAAGGTCATTTCCTCCGATTTCATTGCTGTGCACTGATTTCAGCTGGTCAGCGCTTGCTCGGGGCTATAAACTGCTCGCTGGTTCCCAGGAACTCCTGCTGGGGTCTGGGGGAGGCCGGGAGAGCAAGGGGTTTTCTTTGACTGATGGGGAAAGGCATTCACTGGTTTTCGAGGGGAGGAGGGGGATGCAGGTGTCACCCTGCTAGGCTCGGATACAGCTGCTGATAGGGCTTAACTGTGACAGGTCAGGTGTCCCAGAGCCGTAAAGCCGTGTAAAGCCCTTGGAGCAGCGCCAGGCTGTGCCGGTGCCTGTCTTTTGTCAGTGATCCGTGTTGTCTCATTAGGCTGCATTATGCTTGGCGATATCTTGATAGGTAGGAAAATTGTCTTCCTCTTGAGTGCTTTTAAACTGGCAGGGCCAAATGTGTCTCTGGTGTAAGGCCAGTTCCTGCAGTAGGAAAGGAGGATTTAGCTTTATGAGGTTTTTCTTCCTCCCAGACATGCCCTCACTCAGCAGCAGCTCCTCACATCTCCCTTTTGTTACTCAGAAAAGGGACACAAGTGTTTCTGGAGCTGAGATAGGACAGAGGATGCCCTCAGAGCCACTCCTGTAGTATGGATGTGCCAGGAATCTTCCTCTGGAGGCAAACAGGGCTGGAGCCTTGGACCTGGTGATGCGTTGGGAATTCTTCTCTTCACTGGGGGTTAAATTCTCCATCCTGGGAGAGGTCTGTCTGAGCACCAGCACAGCTTAGGTGCCCAGGGCTGAGCCCCATGGTGCCTGCAGAAGATCTGCATATCCAGAGCCTCTCTGACCCATCAGGAAACTTGGGTCAGGGCAGTATCCTTCTGTGTGTGGGTGCTGGGGCAGGAGAACGTTGGGTATGCACTCGAGACATGGTAGCATGAGGTCTGCATCCTCAAGGGGCCGTTACCTGAGGGTGTTTAAGAGACAACTGGATGTTGCATTGTGTGGACTTGTTTAGTAGGTTGATAGGGCTGGGGCAAAGGCTTGGCTCGATGATCTTCTAGGTCTCTTCCAGCTGATACAATTCTATCATTACAGCACTGGAACAACGAAGGAAAAGGTTGTACTGACACATGTGGGCTTTTTGCCAGGTTCTTGGTGTATTTAAGAGGACAGAGAGTTGCCTTAGCTCCACTGAAGTCCCGCTGAGGTTTGCTGCTCTTGTCTTCCTGGCCCCACTCAGTGTGGAGTGTGTACACTATGTCTAACCACAATGCTGTTTGCACCACTTAAATTTATCTGATCTAGACACTGTAGCTCATAATATTGCTTATTTTTGTGCGGTTGATCATCTTCTAATGCTTGAGACTAAGGGGTGGTCTGGCTGCAGGATGATCTGTGTTGGGCCTGGGTTTAGCTTGGCCTCAGGCAAGCCTGAAAATCCCCTGTCCCTCCGGGTTGTTT